TATGACAGACTTTCTCCAAGTGCACAGACTAAAACAAAAGAGGGCCATTGCACAGCTTAATCGTTAAAAATAAATGACTTTACTTAAAAAAGTATTTGTATTTCATGTATTATATAACTGCATTTGGCATGGCCATGGATAGATTATCATTTTTGGACCCCTCGGGGAAAATGTTTGGGCACCCCTGATATACTGTACAGTGACATCTTTTGGATCAATGTAGCATATCACCATAGTTAAACATGTAATTAACAACAGTGACAGCAGGATAGCACAGAGTTGTTTTTTTCCTACTATAATGTATCAAACGTTTGAGAGAGATTTGTGTTATTGGATGAGGAGTCAGAGGACGAAAATCTTTTTTTTCTTGTTAACCACAGATATGAATAGACTACAAGGAAGTCAGCTGCACGTTTGCATATGCTCAGTAGACTCAGATGAGTTGCTCCTTGAAGCTTTCCATCTTGCTTATTTATTAACCTGCTTCTGGGAGYGGACCATTTTCAGCTAAATGACATGTAGAAGCATAAGCTGCTCTGTATAAACAAACTCCTTCACAAAGTTCTGACCAGACACTGCAAACCGCATTAGTCTGTAAAACAGATTTCTGACTGGGGCCAGTCTACCAGATGGGGTGTCTGTAAGGTTGTTAACTGTCCCATGGTAGTTGAAATGTCCCATATTTTTAGCCAAATTGAAGTGTCCCATACAGGACGCTGTTTCAGTGTACTTATTTTATTTGCCTAACCTGACCTGGAGAGGGCCGCTGAGGGATGATACTGAAGTGTCCAAATGCAATGACCATATGAAACACTGAGGGCCTTGCACTACCTTCTTAAGTGAAAGGATCCACATGAAACGCAAACTGCTGCAGCTTCATTTAATCCATTTACTGAACTTTAGCAAACTTTATACGTAGACTTTTGTTAGTGTGGTGGGTAAGCATATTTTTCATATCAAAAAGAAAAAAATAAATAGGTACTCTGGATGGGTTATTCTTTAGTGAAATGTTTCGTCTCTCCTCCAAGAGACTTCTTCAGTCTGATGAGTTTCAGGTGAACGCAGCCTTATAAGCACTGTCATGGACTGCCATGGACAAACAGGCTAGTCACATGCAAAAGAGTGGTAACATTGGTTTGAGAGAGGAGTAAAGGAAGCCATCTTTGTGAAGAAAAACCGTCCACCATTAAACAGATGTGGAGG